GGTCGTATATATATATTGCGCTGCGCCTGCAGGGTGAAGGGGCCTTCTCCACCGGGTCTCGAGAGCAGTAGTGTATGATAGTTACGCCGACTACTAATCTCTTACGGAACGGCGGATGCCTTCGCATGCTCGCAAAATGCCGATAAACGTAATTGGCGGCCACGCGGGTCGGAATGCACATTAAACGTAATACTCCTAGTCTTCTTCTGCATGCTACATTCCCACACACACACTAAAGTATTCACGCGAAGGAAAGAAGTGTGCCAACGGAGATGAAAAAAGAAAAAAAAACGGACTAAGACCACTACTTATACGGATAGTGCGCCTTCCCTTATTAGCTAGCGGCTGCCCGGTATACAGCGCCGGGTGCATCTCTCGGTCCTAAACCGAACTTCGAATGCTCCAGGTTGCGCATCGCATCGGTAGCAGCCCATACAGACGCGAGAATCGAATAGATGACACGCGCCAAGTCCGTCCTGCAGGACAAAAATAGTTTTTTTTTTTTTCCATTCCATAACACATCGCTATATGCGCAAGTGTGCCGGGTTATTAAACTATGGACCTTCTCATTCAAGACTCCCTGGGCACCGCCATCCTCTTTGGGCTGTTGTTAGTGTACGTTATTTCCCCCCCCCCCCCCCCCCCGATAAGTGCACTGCCGAGACTGTGACATCGGCTACTGTCCTCTCCTGCAACAGCCCAGAAAGGAGGAAATACTCCTCTTCGTAAACAAAACTTGGATAGGCTGGGACTAAAGACGACGAGGAAGATCGAACGGGGCGTACTTAAAACGCAGCGCTTTAACTGCCGAGCCCACACACGACAACCTGTTGGTGCGCCTCGTCCACCGCAGAGGTGTGTGTGCACCCGAAAGCTCAGTGCGATTTACCAGTCGAGAAACACCAATGGAAGGATCGGACATCGAAGTCACGCAGGAAGCAGAGTGCTGTCCGCTCTTTAGAAGTGTGCAGTGTCCGATGTAAGCGCGTTTTGATTACGCGGAACACTGCTGCGGGAAGCTCCGGGTATACCTAATCACCGGGTATTCCCAACCATGCAAAGTAGCCAAACGAATCCGTTAGCTCTGAAATGCGAAGCAAGCGCCGTTCACCCGGAATAATAATGCGAGGATGTTAATTTTGTGTTCTGGTTTCTGGCTGGCGAGATTTTGATTTTGGCGTGCCCATTGTGAGAGACTAAACAAACAAGGCAGGTGGGGAGTGCTATGGCCTTCTACGAGTCGACACAGCAATCTCGCGTGGGTCAGGAACTAGTGAATTCGGTTGAAACGTAGCGCGCCCGAGATATCGACAAGGTACGTCAAAACATATCACGAGCGCCATTTTCTGTTTCTTTTTCATCGCCGTAGTCACGATTCGTTCCAAAAGTATGAACTGATTCACCCAAATACATCTATTATTGACCTAGTGAAGAACGAAACAAGAAGATTAATTTTTGTTCTTTAGACTTATTTCGAAAGACACAATCAGACGAATCATACGAACAAGAAAAATATATAGAACATAAATTACTTTACTGAACTGTAGTGCACTATTTACGACAAAAAAAAAAACTGAACTGAGCTAGGTAAAGTGAAAGTCAGAGCACCCCTTCCGTCGGTAGGATTCGAACCCACAACCTACGAATTACACGCCCCAAAGTAGTAAACCAGAAGGCGCTGTAGCTCAATTGACAGATCATCGGACGCGTAATTCGAACGTTCTCAATTCGGATCACAGGTAGGCAAAAACAGGAAAAGAAAAAGTGGAGTTCACTTTTGGACTTATTACTCGCTCTGACACCGACTCAGCAAATTTTCCTAAAGCCGACTCACTAAAAATGTTTTTCAACCGGACTCACTCGGTCTGGCCGTAACGTGCTCATCAGACTCCTTATGAGTGTGAGCGTGCCGATATGCTGTTCAACCCCCGAAAATCTCCGAAAAAAAGGGGGGTATTTGATTGTCCACTCGAATTATAGTTAATTGACGTCACAATGACTACAGTACAGTTAAAGACAACAATTAATGTCCCCCACTCCCCACGCTTGCCTCGGCCTAATTGCCCATGTATTCATTCGGCTGAGCTGGTGAGCACGCGATGACAGGAGGACCCAATAAAGACGTCGAACGAAAAATGCCTTCGTCCAAGCATGGAAGCTCGAAAAAGAAAAAAACATTTCCACCCAAACGAGGTAGGCCGACTTGCGCCGGATAATGGGGACGGATAGGCGACGAGGCGAAGGTATATTAACCCCCCTTTTTTTTTACTAGCGCGCATGCGAGAGAAAGAGAGGGGAAGGGCCGGCTACAGGAAGACACCCGCGCTCGGGGCTACTTGTTAGCCAGGCATGACGATAGTTATAGCGCGAGAACAAAACGACGACACAGAGACTGTGTGTCGTCGTTTTGTTCTCGCGCTAAAACTATCGTCATGCCATACCAACTAGCCCAAGCTGCCACACTTCTTCGTTAGCCAGATCCCCGACTGCTCCGAGGCGACGCCTGACGGCCAGATAAGAGAGTTCGCGATGAAACGATCTCACTTTCGCCGAAAACGCCCGCAGCCGCCGCCGCCGGGCTTCCACGTGCCGCGGAGAAAAAACCATTCATCACGCGGCCGTCGCAAGCGTCGACGCCGTCGATACGCAATTGGCCACTTCGTGTAAGGGAGCAGTTGGCTAAACGTTCGCTTGGGGCACAGTGCGAGCGAGCAGCTGGGACGCTGCCGTGTGGCCCCCGACACGGTGCAGTAACCTGCAGCAGCAAGGCGAAGACGTCCGTCCGGACCGGATCTACGGCAGTTGAAAGGGGTTAGCCGCGAGCGATCTCTCATTATTGCGTTTACGTGTCTTCTGCGAAAGTGCAGACAGGGAATGAGCGAACGAGGGTTTAAGAAAGGGTTGAGACGCCCGCTGGATAATCAGTCTTCCTGAACCGAGCGCGGCAAAGGCGGTTTGTATTGTTTGCGTTGACAGCGATGATGCAGCGGTCAGACGGGTGCTGCTGCCGCCGCGAGCTGTAATACTTCGCTAACGTCTAGGGGCAAAGATTCGCTCAGAGGTAAACGTACCTGTCGTGTTTGCATTATAAATTATCCGACAGCGTTTCTCCGCGGTTTGAGCAGGACGAAGAATACTACCTTGTCGAATATGTCAACGTATGTTAACCCGGGCCGGTGCGTTCGCAACATTCAAGGGGCGACGCTGCAAGGCTAAAACAACAGGCGGCCTCTAGAGAGCACAGACGTGTAGTATAGCAGCCTGAATCACACTTGTCTAGGGCGGCCAGTCGGCCGCTTCAGCCGCAGTTTATTATTATTATTTTTTTTTGCAGGAACACGCAGACACCGACGCCGCCATGATGCCAGACGTAGTCACACCACTTGCGGAATCGCATCATTCGAGGATGAGCTAACGTAAAGCAGTAGCAGCAGCAACAGGCGGCGTAGTCACAATTCACCGACAGGTGCAATTCGGACTGCACACAAAACGAAACTGCTGCGAGCGTAAGTCTTGAAATCAACTTCCTCTTCATGTGTACATGTCGCGGGTTCGAATCCCGGCTGCGGCGGCTGCATTTCCGATGGAGGCGGAAATGTTGTAGGCCCGTGTGCTCAGATTTGGGTGCACGTTAAAGAACCCCAGGTGGTCGAAATTTCCGGAGCCCTCCACTGCGGCTTCTCTCATAATCATATGGTGTTTTTGGGACATTAAACCCCACAAATCATTCCTCTTCATGTGCAGCTCAAAACAAGAGAGAATGTAGTGCTTGGTATTCTGCTAAGAAAAACAAATAAAAAAAGTATACTCTCACGTCTCAACTATTTCCTGGAATAAAAAAAAAGAGAGAGAAGACGCACAATTGCGGTCGTCCAATTAACCACACACAGCACACTCTATACTGAAACTCACGCGTAACCCGAGTTGAAATCACGGAATGACTGTTCCATTTTGACCGGTGATCACGTTTCGCAGCTGACCCATTCCAAGGACAGAAATGTCTCCCCGAGGCTTTCCCGCGCTGTGCCTTCGAATTTCAACCCGAACGACGCCGTCTCTCTCGAAACCGAATCGCTTCGCCATTCACCGGAAGCGCCCAAAAAATCTTGCGCCTGCGCCTTTTCCATCTCCCTCCGCCGCCTCTTTTTTTTTTCTTGCTTACTTTCCTCGCAGACAGGGTCAACCGCAGTCATAATATACCTCGGCGATCACACTGCAGCTGCCAGCCAACTCACCTTCGATGGAACAACAAACTATAATAGTGCACGAAACACTCAGACTGAGTGCACCGCCTGAGATCTTGGTGTGACGCGTTTGTGCCCTGCCGCGATGTTGATGTTTTCTTTGTCAACTGGTAGGTCCTTTTGTATTTTTTGTTCTTGCCTAACCCTCCTTGGGTCCGTCTAGGAGGATTGCAGTATTGTATACAGCAATGAATAAATAAATAATATTAATAATGTTAATAATAATAACAACAACAATAATATTATTCTCCTCAGGCCCATTATATATATCAGCCTAGGATGACTTAAAGGACAGAGCCATGATTTGTTTTTCTTTTTTTGTTTTATTCCTTTGTCATAGGTCGACTGTGATCCCCCAGCCTCTGAGATTTTTGCGCCCGGCACGTTACTCAAAGATGGGCCCACCTATAACCGAGGTACGATATCATGTGAGGAAGATTTGTTACTATTATTAATATTTTGCAGCACCCGTGTTCAAGCCAACACCGACGGTGGCGTATCGTATTTGATGTGGCACCTCAATAAATAATTTAGGAGAGCTGTCACGCTAGAATCACTTGCATCACGCGAAATCGGCCACAGAAACGAACCTTGGTTGAAAAATAATAATAAAACACTGCACTTTCTACAATTACTCGAGAAGTAGGAAGCTGCTACAGTTGCGAGCAGCATCAGAGGCGACCCCCCCCCCCCCCCCACCCACCCATCATTCGCGAGAGCGCAATGGCAGTCAAGACGCGGGATGCCACCACTCACCGACGATGGGCACGTAGACGTTGAAGTGTCCGTCGGCGACCAGCTTCTGGACGAGCGGCAGGTGGTCGATGAAGCAGTTGGTGTCCGGGATGAGGAACCGGGGCCGGATCTCGAGCATGGCCGCCTGCTTGCTCCGATGCTCCTGCAGAAACGCCTGCGATACGCACAACAGACACGGTCACGCCTCGCTTCGGAGGCCCCCCACCGCACGTATGTGCACTGCGGTTAAAACAACAACAACAACAACTGGCCGCCGCCTATCTGCGTGCCTCGCTGCAAATGTCGTCGAAAAGTATTCTCTCTGGAGGCGCTGCGTGAGATATGGACGCCATCTGGCAGTAATGTCGGAAAACGAAAGCTTGTGTAGAAAGCAGAGCCACTGGCCGGTGGCAGCACCGTATCATCGTCTTAGCGAAGCGCAACAAAACACCCACTTTTTCGTGCATAGATAGCGTCGCATTGTAAGCGCAGCGTAAAAAAAAAAAAACTGGGGTTCTTGAAATTACGTATCTCTGCCTTTTCTAACGAAGATGCACGTCACCTAATACTTATACGTATTGATGTATGCGTAATATTTGTTTTTTGATCGACAACAATCACAAGTATGAACGCAGCTACCACCAGATCAAGATGGCTGGGCGTTGAGGAAGAGCTTCAACTTTGGTCCGGTCGCTTAATCGTTTCGAGCAACAGGCAGACAATCAGAAAGACTTACATACAAACAAACCAAAATCTCAAGAAAGACTGTCGTTTTTTAAAAAAAAATCAGCTCCACCCGCAGAACCACGGCGTGCCAGCCGCTCAGCTGCGAGATACAGTCGTGCTATAGCTCGTTCCCGCCCGAATAATGAGTACCTTTTCTCGGTTAATGTAAATACTACGTATACGAAGGATTGAAGGTTCTTTGTTACTACCTAAAAAATATGTTCGGCGGAGCCGCGATGTAAAGTACCCGACGAAATTCACCGGGACGTTCAAGTTTATCGACCAGCAACGAGCGACACAAACATGTGTCTGTTTGAAAAAGCCGACCACCTGAAACACGGAAGATGTGCATGACGTCACGAACGGGAGTAAGCGCTATTGGGCGGAGCAATTGTGCGAGTTCTCTGTGAGACGAACAGCGATAGCAGAGGCTGGAGCGGGCACCTTTTTTTATTATTGTAACCGTGTAATGTCAAATTGCGCTCTTGATAAGAGATTCCACGGCTTGATATGGCCTTCGCTTTAATAAACACCCCAGCTGCCAGTGTTGTAATGCCCCTTAGACATACATGCCCGATAAGTATCCGTGCCTGTGTGACACTGACAATACACAAGATGAGCCATGCACAAGCATATCATCACCCGACGTCGTTCGCGGTACATTAACGAAATCGCGCTTATTATTTCACTCAAGCTCAGAGCCGTCTAGATGCCGAGTTACATAAGGCCTCGAGGACCATGGCGAAGCCCCGGAGTCTCTCCCATAGATTGTGCCGAGTGCACCTCTTGTAACACAATGTTGTTCATAGTTCATAGCCTTAGGCGTACTTTCCTTACCCCACGTATTACTTACGGCAGGCTTAATAGCGATCATATCGAAAATAAGACATCAAGCCCGCCCATCAACGCAGCGCTAATGTGCTAGGCCGGAAAGGCTGGCAAAATTTACTCACGGCATTTACAAAAAGGTCGAGAGCTACACTATCGCGTACGCCCTATCTCTGCTCGCAGCATTGATTATGCTTCTACCTCAACATAATGGTCAGCACCACGAAAATGAGCAACGGAGTTTCGAGTACACGAGCTCACGCGAAAGGCTGTGACGTACAGAAAGGAGATCGCAAGACAGCATCGCAACGTTGCTCTGCACGTCAGTGAGCACGACACATTCAGTGCTCAAAGCAGCGCGGCATAGATAAAAGCGATAGTTTCGGAGATAAGGTGATGCCCGACAGGACACTACTCTCTCTTCCTATAGAGGCGCTGTTATCTGTTCGGGTCCACAAACACGGTTGATTGCATATTTTCAGCAGATCAATGAATCTGTAGCAACGTACGTCAGGGGGAGTTCACCCTTAACTAAGAAAAACGCCGATGCTGTTAAGCGTCATCGGGTTCCCAGAGCACACGCACACGGGCAACCCTTATACAACACTATCACGTATACACACGTGGCCGGGGGTCGTTAACAGCAATATAGCGTGCTCGCGCACAACCCTCGCAACATCGGACGTAAACAAACGCGCGCGCGGCGGCAAACAAAGGGAAAGGCTTCGAAACGCGGCGCATGCAGCAGCAACAGGCCGATGACGCTATGCGCGCAACTTGGGAGCGACAGCCGCCGGAAACGCCGCAGACCCCGTTCCCTCAATTCGAACTGAGGAAGGACCACGGGAGGGGGGGAGATGCCATCCGTCTCCCCGGTGACCACGCGCTATCCCGACAGCCAGCGTCCAGTCAGAGGAGAAGCATCTCTCGCCAAAGGGTCCAATCTATCCCTAAGTTCCCCCCTCCGGTGTCGGCTTCTTTCCCTTCGCAATACAAAAAGGGGAGCTCCTCGAACCCCGCGCGCTATACTCTGAGTCACATTTATTTGGAAACAGCCCGCCCCACGCAGCGACCGCGCACCGGACAAGGAGGAGGAAAAGAGCGCGCGCATCTGGACCGACCGACGCGTCATTTGGCACGGCGGACCCTGTCAACGCGAGCCGGACACTGCGGGAAGCTCGCCAGACGCGCACTGACCGACCATTCCCCACGGCAGAGGGACCACGAGACGGACTCGTGGTGACTCAGTCACCTGATCGTGACTCAACACTTATTTGGGCGCGCGCACGCACACCCCCCCTGCCGGCCTGTCCCCAGGAGTGCGGCGGCTCCTGATTTCGGGGGAGCAGCGCCAGTGTAACGTAGAAGCTGGACGTGCATTCACGCCGGGCAGCCGAGTTAATTCGCGGGGAAGCGACGCACGCCGATTGGAACGCGGACACCCCATTTGGAACACCACCCCGCTCTGCAAAGCAAACCGCCCCCCTCTACCCCCACGTACCGAATGAAGCTCGCCCACCCCCCAATAGCCATCGATTTTATTCGATACACCTCCTCCCGCGAATGCCACCGCGCGCGTGTTTGCGACAACGAGATTCGCGCAAACTCTGCTTGACAGGTGCACCGGCCTGGACATAAGCCGGACACGATGGAGGCGCGTTTTATAAGCAAGCAAGCACTCCGGGTGTAAGTGGTTCCTGGGAGTCCTTGTGCAGCGGCTACGAGATGGTGAACTCGAGGAGAGCCTGCGGCTGTACACACACTCTTGAGGGCCTGGACAGCGTAAAGCTCAGACAGGAGCTCTATACGCTTCACAAGTACACGAAACTAAAGGAGCTGCGCAATATCGATAAAAAAGAAACGATCTAGAAGCCCGGACAGCATTCTACACTTCCAGTAGCATATCTGCGCCAACTGCCACGCAATTCCATGAATGATTAGATCAGTGCAAAAAGCTGGGTGCCACGACGAAACGCCAGCGCGTGTTCAGCGAAAGTCCTGATCAGCAACACCACATGTGGCGATATCACGCTTGGCAACCTATACATATACACGCGCAAACGCCTCCACCTCCTCGATGGCTACACCAACCGCGTTCCCCACTGAATGGCGATATTAACGACAACAATCTACACACAACGCCCAACTTTTCGTTACATTGCAAGAACTCTTACTGAAGTATCTGAAGAGATACAGAAAGGAAAGAACAGGCGCACATTGCACACGCCATAAATGGGTGGAGTGTTTCGAAGAACATTGAACTCATCCTGGCACAACGCCGCTGGGCGGACCAAGCGGACAATTTAGCACCGCGCGACGTGTCATCGGTCACGCGTGCATGCAGCACTGCAATCGATGATACGGCGCCTCAGCGGTTCTCCTCGTACGGCTGCGGGTCAACGTTTCCGCGAAGAAACCCTGCGAACGAAATCATCCGCCAACCTGAAAGGGTATGCACAGGCCGTAAAAGAGAACGTGGAAGGGGGGGGGGGGGGGGGGGGGGGGGGTACACGGCGAGGACTACTAGTACGCTTAGCACGCGGCGATTCGGGGACGATCCATTAGAGACTTGGCTTGCTGCTGCTTTCTGAGCTCGCTGTAAGATGACATAAAGAACTTCCCAAACATGACCTAATCTATTGCGATTGCTCAAGGCGGCTCAGAGGAAAAAAAAAAGGTGGAGGGGCGGGGGGTGGGAGGGGTAACTCTGGCTTAAAATGCACGTTAAAGCCGCTTACGTGGCACGCACCGTTCGTATAAATCAATTCGAGCCGACCAATTAACTCAATCCTGGAACACGTCGCATCCCCCGACCTAACCCTCATCTCCCGTTCTTTTCCTATTGGAACTAGACGGCGTCGAACGCACACGAAAAAAAAAAGAAAACGCCACCATAAGAACAAGCCTAGCAGGGATGCAAGCGTATATGCATATAAGAGGCATCTCGCGAGGCAATGGGCACGGGTGAAGCGCACACTACATCCATCGAGCATCGCAATCACTGTGCAGTGACGAAGAAGGAGGGCGAGCACGGGACAACGTACACGGCGACGGAAGCTGCTGCGGGTCGGCACGCACGACGGCTGCTCCCGCTTGATGAAGCAGCCACTGTACCCGTACAGCCTCGGGCTCGGCGTGAAGAAAGAACATTGGGATCTCCACGGACTCGCGAAACGGGCAGAACCGGGATGAGGGGAGGCGAACGCAGTGCACCGAGCACGCCAACTCACGCTAGAACGCAAGTGAGACACACACACACAAACACGTGACCAGGCGCAAGGCTACTGACCCACGCCGCCGCCCGTTTCGTGAAGAAGTCATCAAGACACGAGAATCGGCGCAATCTCGCATCGGCTAACACAAGCGGCACTGCATCAGGCTGCAGTCGAAGCGGCGCAGCCGGGCACAGAGAGCGATTCCCAGCGCCCACTAATGCGCGCAATTTAGCCGATTGATCCGAGCGCGAGATAGAACACGCAAACGGGCGCGTCCCGAGGGATGATCGGATGCCAATGACAGAACTGCAAAGCAGCAGATGCTTATAAATCATCAGGCTCTCCCTCCCCGCGATCGCTCTCCGGTAATTGAATACTGCGACGGTACACAGGGCGGGCAGTACAT